AGCAATCAGTAATATGCAGATAACTGTGCAATGACACCAACTGAAAGAAACGAGTAGAATAAATAAACATAATGTTATCATGTGAATAATACCATAGAAACAATGCACAAAGCCTTCCGAAGCTGCATGGGAAGAACCTCTGCCCCTCTCTCCCTTCCACACCTTCAACTTCCTCCATTAGATTCCACTCCCTCCCTTGCCTTCCCTCCCTCTCCCTCCTTTACCTTTCCTTCTCTAACCATCTCTCACCTTTCCCTCCTTTCCCCTTCCCCTTCCCTTCCATTCCACTCCGTTCCCTCCTTCCCTTTCTCTCCACCTCTCCCCTCTCCCCTCCCCTTTCCCTTCCATTCCTTTCTTCCCTGCCCCCTCCCCTCCATCCCCTCCCCACCCTCCCCTTCCTTCCACTCCCTCCCCTTCCTCCATTATCAATGCTCCGGGTTACCCCACGTTAGGCAGATATTGCCTCCCTCTGGCTTGCTCGTGTTTCGCTCTTGCTTCCCCTGACCCTCCTCATCTCCCCACTCATAAAACTCGCCCTCCCTTTCTCCTTCTCCTTCTCCTTCTTCTCCTCCTCTGTCCTCCTCTTCTCCTTTTTTATTCTTTTCCTTTTTTCATTTTTATCGTCATTTATTAACTTTCCTTCCTTCTCATAAAACTTCTACTTCCATCTCCCCCCCAAACCCCTTTTTCCAACCTCGGATCAGAGTCGAACGGCCCAAATTCGAACAGAACCCCGCCTCGATCCGGGGAAGAACGTGCCTGGACAGAAGAAAAAAAAAATCGAGAACCTCACTAGAACCTTACTAATCCCCGTTAGAACCACCGAACCTTCCTAGAACCGTGCAAATCCCCGTTAGAACCACCAAACCTTCCTAGAAACCGTTGCAAACCCCCCGATTAGACCACCAAAGCCTTCCTAGAACCGTGGCAAACCCCCCGTTAACCACCTAACCTTCCTAAACACGTGCAAATACCCCGTTAGAACCACCGAACCTTCCTAGAAATCCTGCATATCCAGGGGTAGAACCACCCAAAACCTCCTTCAGAACCGCCCCCCCCCCCCCTCCCCCACAACAGTGCAAATCCCCGTGAAGAACCACCGAACCTCCTAGAACCGTTGCAAATCCCCTGTTAGACCACCTGAACCTTCCCTTAAGAACCATGCATAATCCTCAAGTTAGAACCACCCCGAACGCTGCCTAAACCGGCAAATCCCCGTTAGGCACCCAGCCAACCTTCCTAAGAACCGCCAAATCCCCGTTAGAACCACCGAACCTTCCTAGAACCGTGTAAATCCCAAGTAGAACCACCGAACCTTCCTAGAACCGTGCAAATCCCCGTTGCAAATCCTAAGTAGAACCACCGAACTTCCTAGAACCGGTGTAAATCCCAAGTAGAACCACCGAACCTTTCCTTAGAACCGTGCAAATCCCAAGTAAACCACCGAACCTCCAAAGAACCGTGCAAAGTAGAACCACCGAACCTTCCTAGGAACTGTGCTGAAATCCCAAGTAGAACACCGAACCTTCCTTAGAGACGCAAATTCCCAGTAGAACACCGAAACCTTCCAAGAACCGTCAAATCCCCGTTTAGAACCACCGAACCTTCTAGAACCGTTTGCAAATCCCCGTTAGAACCACCCGGAAACCCTTCCTAAGAACCGTGCAAATCCCCGTTAAGAGAACCACCCGAACCTTCCTAGACCGTGCAAATCCCCGTTTAGAACGCACCGAAAACCTTCCGTAGAACCGTGCAAATCCCCGTTAGAACCACCGAAACCTTCCTATGTAACCCGTGCAAATCCCCGTTTAGAGAACCACCGAACCTTCCTAGAACCGTGCAAAATCCCCGTTTTTAGAACCACCAGGGACCCCGAGGAGCATTTTTTCCCCAGAAACCTCCGCGTCGAGCAGAAGCGCCTACATCCGGTACGACCTCCTCCGGAAATTTCCCACAAATGTCGCTCGGCACTGAGAAGTAGAACCCCACCACTCGAACTGAACCCCAGGACAGCCTCAGAAACCATACAGAACCTCCCAAACCTGATTACTACCCTCGAAACGCCCCCCCTCCCCTCCTGATCCAAGGTCGACCATTACGATCCAAGACCCCCCCCCCCCCTCCACCCTACCTTGAACCCAAGCAGAACCTCTTCAACAAAACAGAACAGAACCATTCCATAATCCAACCTGCTAGAACTCGTAAAACCTCTTGGAACCGACCAGAACCCGCTCCCACCCCCCTCCCCCACCCCCGCGAACCCAGAGGAGCGTGGTCTCTGCCCCAACCCTCGTAAAACCTCTTGGAACCGACCAGAACCCGTAAAACCTCGTGGAACGACCCAGAACCCGCTCCCACCCCCCTCCCCCCACCCCGCGAACCCAGAGGAGGGTCTCTGCCCCAACCCTCGTAAAACCGTCTGCGCCGCGCGAGAGAAAAAGAGAGAGAAAAAAGAACCCCCCTGAACCAGAATAGAACCCGACCTCGGAGAAGACCTTTAACATCGCCTCAACCCCAACCCAACCCCTCCCAATACCCCTCCCTTTAGCCACCGCCCCACCCCCTCTCCCCCTAACCCTCTTTTTCACTCATCTCTTTCCGCTTTTCTTCTTTTCTTTCTTTTCTTTCCTTCCTTTCTTCCCTTTTCCCCTGCTTATCCTTTTCTCCTCCTACCCATCCTTCCCCTCATTCGTTCACTTTATCCCACCAGTATCCCCCCCCCTTCATCTTCCTCTTCTCGTTCCCTACCATTCCTCCTCTTTCCTCCTAATCTATTCCATACCCCTTCCCTCCCTCCCTCCCTCCCTCCCACCCTGCCTTTTCCCTCAACCCCAACGTCCCTTCCTCAGTCCTCCCTTCCCACCCTTATCTCCCCTCCCTCTCTCCCTCTATTCCCTCCTTCCCACGCACCTTCGCCCATTCTCTCCCTCTTCCCTCCTCCCTCTCTCCGCACCCTCAACCCTTTCCATTCCTCCATCCCACCCACCCTCACCTCTTTCCTTCCCTCTCACCCAAGAACCCACTCTTTCCACCTACCCCCCCCCGCCCACCCTTACCCCCGGCCCACCCCTTACCCCCCCACCCGTACCCCCACCCACCCCTAAACCAACCAAAAATTAGCCTTTCTTATAAATCAATTCCTTCGAGGGCCCTAAATTAGAAACAGGTGAGTCACTCGCGCCAGAAATAATGCAAGTTTTACCTCGCCCCTCCCCTTTACCCCCACCCCCTACCCCCCATTCCCTATCCCCGTCCTCCTCCTTTTCCTTTCCTTTCGTCCTTACACCCTCCCTTTTCTCTTTCTCTCCTTCTTAATCCTCTTATCTTCCTCGTTTTCCCCTCTGCCTCTATTTCCCTTGCCTCATCTTCTTCTCATCCCTATCTTCCATCTCCCTCTTCCCCTTAATCTTCTCTCTTCTCTCTCTCTCTCTCTCTCTCTCTCCTCTCTCTCTCTCTCTCTCTCTCTTCTCTCTCTCTCTCTCTCTCTTCTCTCTCTCTCTCTCTCTCAAATCCTTTCTCTTCTTCAAATTTCCTCTTTGCCTCCCCTACCCCTACCTTTTCCCTCTCCTCCTACCCTACCCCTACCCCCGCCCTCCTATTTCCATCGTCCCCAACCACTACATCCTCACTCACTCTTTTCTTTCCGCTCCCCTTTACTTCCTTCTTCTTACTTCCCTCTCCCTCCTTCCCTTCCCTCCCTCTCCCTCCTTCCTTCCTCCCTCCACTTTCCTGCCTCCCTCCCTCCTCCTTCCTCCCTCCCTCCTTCCTCTTCCTCCCTTTCCTCTCCATCCTCTCCTTGGCTTTCTCCCTCCCTCCTCCTCTCTCCTGCCTTCCTCCCTACCCCTTTCTCCTGGCTTCCTCCCTCCCTCCTTCCTCTCCTCCTCCCTCCCTCCCTCCCTCCCTTCTCCTCCCTCCCTCCTCTCCTCCTTCCTCCTCCTCCCTCTCCCGGCCTCTCCTTCCTCCCCCCCCGTGCGTAACTGGCAACAGCAGCAAACCGGAAGTGATCCCCGCGATGTTGGCTGCCTTTGGGATTTCCAATTTTTTGTCCATTTTTTTTTTTTTCTTTCAAATGATTATTATTTTCCCCTCTTTTTTCTACTATCGTCTTTTAAATTTTGTTTTTCTTTCCTTCTCTCTCTTTTTCTTTCCTTCTTTCTCTCTCTCTCTCTCTTTCACTCTCTCCCTCCCCCTTTATCTCTCTATCTCTATCCCCATCTATCTCATTCTTTCTTTTCTCTTCTTTTCTTTCTTTATCTCTCTCCTCTTCTCCCTCTCTCTCTCCCTTCTCCTTCTTCCTCCATCTCCATCTTTCTCTCTCGCTCTCTCTCTCTACCTCTACATTTACCAACATATCTCGGTCGGGTCAAGAGCTACCTTATTCGCCAGCACACGAACACAAAAAAAAAGAAAAAAAAGAAAAAAAAAAGAAGACTATAAATAACTTACCTTCGAAGAATCTTCACAAAATATAATAGTAATAGTAATACCAAACGAGCAACATTGATGGCTGGTGATGATGAGTGTGATGATGATAATGGTGGTGATGATGATGGATGTGATGATATTAATGATTGATGATGATTGTGGGGGAAGGGATAAGAGCGATCATGATGATAGATGTGGTGATGATGATTGTGATGATGATGGTGGTAGTGGTGGGGATGATGATGGATGACAATATTATTGATAATGATTGATGATGATTGTGGGGGTGGGGATAAGAATGATGATGATGGATGTGGTGGTGATCATAACAATGATGATGATGATTGTGGTGGTGGTGATGATAATACTGATGATAGCAATAGGTGATGATAAACAACAATAATCAAAAACCCTTAAAAAATATAATAATCATCCCCACAAAACATTTTTTACACCACCAAACAAACCCCCCACACACACCATCCCCCCCCCCCCAAAAAAAATCCAACCCAAAACCAAAAATCCCCCCAAAAAAAAAAAAAAAAAAAAACGAGAAAAAAATCCTCAATACTCACTACTTGGCACAATCTATGAGCTGGTACTCGTTGGAGCGCTCGTAGCACGCCTGGACTCCCTGGTCCTTCCACAGGATCTCGGTGTGCTCGTAGAACTCGTCGGGGTAGTCGAAGTCCTTGCTGGAGGCCACGTCCTGGATGTAGTCGACGCGGAACTGGTGGGCGGGGTTCTCTAGCGCTATCGGGGGCGTCAAGGTGGACATGTTGCCGGTGATGGTCTGGCGGGGAGAAGAGAACAGGCCATGGGAGAGGGGGGCGGGGGAAGAGAGCCACGGAGAGAGAGAGAGCCAGGGGGGGAAGAGAAGGGGGAGCTATGGGAGTTAAGAGGGGTCATGGGGAGAGGGAGGGGAAGCCATGGGAGTTCATGGGAGAGGGAGGCGTGGGAGTCAGGGGAGCTATGGGAGCCGTGGGAGAAGACAGTCAGGGGAAAGGGACGTATGGGATGGGATGCATGGGAGAAGAGAGCCATGGGAGACATGGGAGAGTTCATGGAGCCATGGGAGAGAGATCATGGGAGCCATGGGAGAGGAGCTCAAGGGGAGAGAGGTTGATGGCGGATGGGCTGTGGGCTGTGGGGTGGGCGTGGGCGGGGTTCCCTAGCGCTATCGGGGAGAAGCCACGGAGAAGCTGACGGGAGTTGCCTAGGATGTGATAGGATGATAATGGGCAAGAGGGAGGGGGAGGTGAGGGAGGAAGAGGGGAGAGGACGATGGGAGGGGAAGGGTGGTGGATGATGGGGGAGAGGGGAGGCAGTGATGGGGGAGAGGGGAGAGGGACGATGGGAGGGAAGGGGGAGGGTATGGGGAGAGGGGGAAGATGGGGCAAGAGGAGGGAGGGTGAGGGGAGAGAGGGGGGAAATGGGGGGGCAAGAGGGAGGGGAGGGTGATGGAGAGAGGGCGGAGGGTGATGGAGGAGAGGAGGTGATGGGAGAGGGGGGAGTGATGGGAGAGGGGGAGAGACGATGGGAGCGGTGATGGGGGAGATGGGGGAAGATGGTGGGGTAGAGGGAGGGAGAGGGGCAAGAGGAAGATGGGGGTTAAGAGGAGGGAGAGGGGCAAGAGGGAAAGATGGAGGTGATGGGGAGAGGGAGAAAGGGAGGGTGAAAGGGCTGCTTGGATGTGATGTGGTAGTGAGGGTCAACGTTCTACATTACGGAGTGGTGGTGTTTGTGTGATGTGTGCTGTGTGTGTGGGTGTGTGTGTGTCTGTTGTGTGTGTGTGTGTGTGTGTGTTGTGGTGTGTGTGGTGTGGCGATGGGTGTGCGTTTGGATTATAGATAGATAGATAGATAATAGATAGATAGATAGAGGAAGAGAGAAGAGAGAGAGAGAGAGAGGGAGAGAGAGAGTGAGAGAGAGAGAGAGAGCGAGAGAGAGAGAGAGAGAGAGAGAGAGAGAGAGAGAGAGAGAGACTAGAAAGACGTATAGTATATCATGTGTACTTCAGAACTGAAAGAAAAGTGTTATCCCTCACTTATACAAAAGGGAAAATGAAGGGAGGGGAGGGGGGGGGGGGCTGGATACACTACAAGAAATGTACAAAAAGGTGACAGTAAAAGTACATCTATCGATAGACATTGTGCCACACGATCATATGAAGCAGATGAAACCTACATCAATATATAATAGTTTGTACTGCATTAAAGAAACTACACTAATTCGCAAATATATGATAATTTACAGAAATGAAGCATGTAATTTTTGTAAATATATATAAAAAAATGCATTACGAGAGACATACAAGGTTTTCAATAAACTACAAAATATCAAAACATCTCCAGGTTTCTGAAATGAAAGAAAGAGAGCGAGAAAAAGAGTTATATTATGACCGATGAATGTTGACAGAATAATAAAATAAAATAACACATCATTGCAAATCAACACATACATACATACACACACACATACACACATACATAAAGACATACATACATACACACACAAAGACATACAGACTGACATACGCACACGCAGACAGAGGTAGGTAAGCAAACAGATAAAGATAAGATAAGATAGACAGACAGACAGATAAATAGACAGAGACAGACAGACACAGACAGACAGACAGACAGACGGGCGCGCGCACACACACAGGCACATATAGAAACAAATAATAAGAGCGACACTTCGAAGCCGGCAAGAGAGAGAGGAAAAAAAAAAAGCAAAAGAAATGGCCGCCAATAAAATAATTCTCCTCCCATTCTACTTTCATGAAATCCCTCGCATCCTCTTCGCCTTCGGGACCTTGCGCCATTCTCTCTTGCGTCCCCGCTCTCTCTCTCGCTCTCGCTCTCTCTCTCTCTCTCTCTCTCTCTCTCTCTCTTCCTCTCTCTCTCTCTCTCTCTCTCTCTCTCTCTCTCTCTCTCTCTCTCTCTCTCTCTCTCTCTCTCTCTCTCCTTTCTTCGCTTCTTACCTTTCTCTTTCCTTTCTTGCTTTCTTTCTTGTCCCTCTTTCTCCCCTTTCTTTCTTTTTCCTCTCTCTCTCTCTCGCTCTCTCTCTCTCTCTCTCTCTCTCTCTTCTCTTCTCTGCTCTCTCTCTCCTCTCTCTCTCTCTCTCCTCTCTCTCTCTCTCTCCTCTTTCTCTTTTCTCTTTCTCTTTCTCCTTTCTTTTCTTGCTCTTTCTTCTCTCTCCTCGTTCTTTCTCTTTTCTCTTTCTCTCTTTTCGCTCTTTCTCTTTCTCTTTCTCGCTCTCTTTCTTCTCTCTCTCTCTCTCTCTCTCTCTCCATTCTTTCTTTCTCCCTTCTCTCTCTCTTCCATTCTTTTCTTTCGTCCCTTCTCTCTCTCTCCATTCTTTCTTTCGTCCCTTCTCTCTCTCTCCGATTCTTTCTTTCGGTTCCTTCTCTCTTTCTCTCCATTCTTTCTTTCGTCCCTTCTCTCTCTCTCTCCTTTCTTTCGTCCCTTCTCTCTCTTTATTTATTTGTTTTTCTTGCCTTCTCTCTCTTTATTCTTTCCTTCTTTCTTGCCTTCTCGCTCTATCCCTTTCTTTCTTTCTCCTTCTCTCTCTCCCTTTTTTCTCTCTCTCTCTCCTCGGTCGTTTTTTTTCTCCTCCTCCTCCTTCTCCTCCTCAATTGGTAATTTCTATCCTCCCTCCATCTCCCCCTTCACTCCATCTCCTCCATTTTCTCACATCCACTTCACTTCTGATTCTTCTCCACCTACAAACTCACTCTCACTCTCTCACTCTCCTTACCCCCCACTACCTTTCCTCCTCCAGCTGCATTCCCATTCTAACCCCCTCCTCCAATACAACCCCACCAAAACACCAACTACCAACCTCACTTCCACCCCATCTCTTCCTCACCATCAACCCCTCCTTCAACCTCACCCCCCCCATGCTATCACCACCCTCCCCCCTCCCATTCACCTCCACCTCCACCCTCAACCTCCCTCACCTCCACCTCCACCCTCAACCTCCTCACCTCCACCTCCACCCTCAACCCTCCTCACCTCCACCTCCAGCCTCAACCCCCTCCACCTCCTTCAACCCTCCTCACCTCCCCCCCACCCCCACCACCCCCACCTCCCTCTTTACAAGGTAAACAACGCCCTTCCGCCTCTTTCCACTGGGCCGCCTCAGACACAAGGCTGAATAAAACATGCAATCACGTGTTACAGGAGTCCGTCATGTCAACTGTGGCCTGCTCTTCGCATTTCTCCTCTCTCTCTCTCTTGCCGCTCTCTCTCTCTCTCCTCTCTTTGCGCCTCTCTAACTCTCTTCTCTCTCTCTCTCTCTCTCTCTCTCTCTCTCTCTCTCTCTCTCTCTCTCTGAGGTGTGTGTGTGTGTGTGTGCTGTGTGTGTGTGCTGTGTGTGTCGTGTGTGCCGTTGTGTCAGTCTGTGTCTACTCGTGTGTGGTGTGTGTGTGTGCTGTTGTGTATGGGTGTATGAGTGTTCTAGTGTGTGTTATGTCCTGTGTGTGTGCCTGGCCTGTCTGCCTGTTTCTCTTGCTTTCTCTAAGAAACGTATTTCATTGAAACAAGTGTAGGAAAACGTAATGAATGAGACATGGAATATCCTCACAATACAAAAGATGTATGGGCTTTGACCGAAAATATTATTCAACCACCGATTAAATACATGCATTTCTGGCGAAAATATACTCGAAACCGGTTAAATACATCTCTTGTGTTTTTGCTTTTTTGTTGTTTATTTTTCTTTGTAGTTGTTGCATGTGAAGACATTCATTCTCATTCATACCTCCCTCCCTTCCCCCTACCCCCCCCCTCTCTCCTCTCTCTCTCTCTCTCTCCCTCTCTCTCCTCTCTCTCCTCTCTCTCTCTCTCTCTCTCTCTCTCTCTCTCTCTTCTTCTCTCTCTCTCTCTCACTCGCTCACTCTCTCACTTCTCTCACCTCTCTCACCTCCTCTCACTCTCACTCTCTCTCTCTCTCTCTCTCTCTCTCTCTCTCTCTCTCTCTCTCTTCTCTCTCTCTTTAATTTGCTCTTGCACCTCCTCTCCTGCTTTTGATTTTCCTCTCTTCTTGTATCCCCTTTACCAAAAAGACAGTTAAATAGATCGCACAGACATAAACAACCAAGTTAACAGACAGACAGGAGAGAGGGGGAGAGGAGGGGAGGAGGAAAGAAACGTAGGAGGGATGAGGGGCGGAAGGAAGAATGAGGAAGAGAGAAGAAGAAAGTTAGTGAGCAAAGGCAAAAGAGTAAATAGGCGATAATCAACTTCACATTACAAAGAAAAAAACATTAATAATAACAATAATAAAAAAATATAATAATAATAGACGAATAAAATAAAAATATATGAAAATAAACAAACAAAAACTAAATAATGAAAGGCGCGGAGAAAGAGTGGAGTTTGCGGGGGGGGGGGATGTGGTGGAAAGCGTGTGTGGGGGGGGAGCATAACCCAACCCCCTCCCCGTCACCTGTAGCTATCTTTGGTCAGCGGGATGCAAGAAGATCCGAGGTGTGTGGGACGGGAGAGTGGGAGTGGAGGGGGAGGGGAGGGAGGAGGAGGAAGCGAGGGGGAAGGCGGAGAGGAGAGAGAAGAAGGAGAAGAGGTGGAGGAAGGAGGAGAAAGGGGGGAAGAGGAGAGGGTGGAGGAGGAGGAGAGGAAGAGATGGAGGCCGGGGAAGAAAAATAGGAAGTGTCAGAANATATATTATATATATATACATATATATACATATATATATATATATATATATATATATATATATATATACATATATATATATATATATATATATATATATATATATATATATATACATATATATATATATATATA